TTTCCTCCCAGGTGAGATACTATTTATATCTCTTTAGTGGTGATAAGTTATTGTTTCAGACTCACCTGGGGGGCCCGCCTCCTAAATGGTCTAATTTGTGTTAATGTGGGCGTATAACAATTGCTGATAATGTGGATAACTCTGGAGGAGTACATACGTATTTTCTATTTTAACATTATAATAGATTTGCAATTGAAAATAATGATAATAATAATTGATATTAATAACACTATACCGTAATAATAGTAATAGAGGTAAGAGTAATACCGATGACTATGATGACGATACTGTAATTTTAACCCTATCAGTAAGCCCGGGGTCATTTTGTATCCGCGGGGTTGTCTTCTTCACATTTTAGAATACTTCTAGTACGAAGTTCTCTTTGAAACTTTCAGTATTTCTCATAAAATCATCTTGAAAGACTGCTATGCAAAGCGTGCGGATCGGAAAACGAGTAAATTTCCTCTTTGGAAAGTGGTAGCACAGAGTTCCCCACGTCGTATGGATACGATAGTAAAACACGACGCACGGATAGGGTTAAATATTGGAATTTTAACGCCAATTTACATAATTTAGGAGGCGGGCTTGCGATCCTGCCTTAAAAGGGCCAACCCTTGAAGAGATGGATATGGATGCAGCTTGCCGGAAGAAGAAAGGCAGGGAAATTCGATAAAAATTATTCTCCCCACTCGGGAATCAAACTCGGGTCTTTGCGTGCGACGGTGAAGCCGTATCGCTACACCATAGATACGGCTACAATGTTGATGATGAATATGATGATAATGGTAATCATATTTCTAATTCTATCGATGATAATGTTACTGATATTGAAATAATAATAATAAGAGTATTAATAATAATAATAATAATAATAATAATAATAACAACGAGCCGTGCTAAAAAGAAAGTATGAAAATGTGTCACAGCGTGGTGACATTAGGCGTTCGTCAGTTTTGTGGTATATGGAGTCATTGGTATACTATTATTACTATTAAAGCTTGTTCACTTGTCTTGCTTTCGGTGAAAAAAGTAACTACCCACCTATCTGGAATAGAAGTCGAGATATTTGCGATTAAGGGGGGTGGGGGAGGGGGGGGCGCTACACCCCCAACGTCCCTATTCAGCTAAAAATCATGGAAACTGAGTTGTAGACATTTTTAGCTTCCTCAACCTCTCCTACAACTATTTTATCGCATAAGAACTAGGGCTGTACCCCGGTAGCAAACCCGCTCGTGCTCACAAGCCCCTAGTTCAAGTCACAAGCCCTCAAATCAGTAGGTCAAATCATCAAATCAAATCACCAGCATGATAAGTTGAGTCTAGCGCAAACTGTAACCTCCTTGGTCTAGTCTAAACTTCAAGTCCACAGCAACTAGCAATC